GAAGGATTCTAACTTGAGCTTCGGAGCCCTTACGCCGGGTTCTCCCCGGAGCTTCTCTTCTCCTCCCGTTTCAGGTCCCTGTTACTCATTTCAGAGGCAAGATCATCAACAGCTAAGACCGGCCAGATTGTGCATCATCAGTATCCACTTAGGAACAGGAAGGAAGGTGCAAATTTTGCATGTCTTTGGGATGCATAAGTGAATCATATTAAGTACAAATTTTGCAACAATACTGAATGCAAAAAGAGAAATATTAAGTACAAATTTTGTATTATTATGTAGGAAAGCAAATCATAAAGACCAATAAACAAAAGCATAAGTGAATCGGTTACGAATTTTAGATCGGATCAAGATAAGATTTGCACTGTAACCAATTGCCACTCCTACTTGTGTATTGTTTTAGGGAAAAGGAAATTCGAGGATATTAATTGATCATTAATTGAGGATAAAAGAAGATATAAAGAAGGTAAAATCAATGTTCTGAAAACCAGATTTGATGAACCAGGTTTCTGCTTCAGTTCATGGGTCATTGATTCAACTACCTGGTTCATTTTGTTTTTTATTTTTATTTTTTTGGAAATTTTAAAATTTTTAGGGGGTGTTCTTTTTCTGGATTTTGAGAGGGGGGAGAGTTGGTCAATGGGATTTTGATTCTCATTGACCAAGAATCATATGTTCTGTTTTTAGATTTATGTGGGGACGAGGGAAGGTTTATTTTTAAATGATATCCATTTCCTAGGTGGGTAAATAACTTTCCCACCTAGGGGAAAGTTATAACACTTGAATAGGACAAAAATGTCTCTTTTAATAATGAATTTTTATGGCTAAAATGGTTATTGTTCTATTTACATGGAAAATAAAAGAACATAGGTAAATGCATGGTTTTTAAAACCGAATTGGTGATCAAACCAGTCAGGGGTCCGATTGCCAGTTTGAATGGTCCGATCGTTTAACTTGAATGCCCAGCCCGTTTTGACAAAAAAATTAAAAATTTTGAAAAATGGTCAAAACCGTTCGAACGATTAACTGGCCGGTTCAACTGTTTGCTGACCAAACTCAACAGTTTTGGGGAAAAAGCAGGTTTGGGAAAAATGGATCGATTTCCGGTTTTTCTGATCCGACCGTCCGATCCATTCCGATTTTGAAAACCATGGGTAAATGCACTTATACGATTAAGTCTTTCTTGGAAAACACTTATTTGGGTATTCAATTAGGGGCTATTTAAGTATTTATAACTTACTTACTCGAGACATTAAGGGAGCCGTTTAAGTATTTGTCAAAAGCCTTGGGGGAAGTTTAAATGAGTTATCGTTTAACTTTATTAGAGTATGGCAAAAGGGCTTAATTAGGATGAGGCAACCATGCGTACATATGGGTTTTAGTACTACTTGTGCTCACACCGTTTACACAGTCCATTGCAGCCTTGTATTGAGAATATTTTCCCATGAAAGAAGAAAAAAACATACAAGCATGGAGATATTCTCAATGCATGGCATAAAAGGCTGGCGAACAATGTGAGCACTGAAGCTGATCTCACTAGAATACCTTATATTGAGCGATTTAAGCCAACCTAAAAAAGTAGGGTTGGTTGGTTCCAACCAAACATGAAAGCTGTGTTTGGTAAGGTGCTTGTTTGGGGTATTTTTCTAATAAAAACAAACACTTATTTGTAAACATTGCCTGGTTCATAATGGGTGAAAAGCATTTTATGTCCATAGAGGTTTTCACACAATCTCCATACGGTGTAATTGACCCCAAACTACATTAACTCGATATAATTTAATTCTTTTTTATAGATGGTGGTATTAAAGACAATATAAAACTATATTTAACATAAAAAATAAGACTATAATTTTGTATTGCCTTGGTTTAATATACTAGCATTGTATTTCTATGCTATAAAATATAACTTAACCTCGTTTTCCTAAGTACAACACTCATAGTAACAGAACCCACCAACAAGGTGGGTATCTTTGATGGGTTCTCAGGTACTCATTGAGGTTTATCAGAAACAACGCAATGTGGTTAAATAGTTGACTTATTGTTCTCAACCACTTGATCTCCCCAAGAATCTTCGATGGTTATAGATGAATAAGAGCAAAAACTTTGCACCCCAAAAATCTTCATCGCAAAACCCACTATTGGAGGCATTTGATTCAAAACAAACAATAAAAGAAAAAAAAAATGAATGGGTGAGATGGAGTGGTGAGAATCAATATTCACTTAACTTTTTAACAAAAAAGGAAAAAAAAAAGGCAGAAATGGAACTTGGTTGTAGCCTTCCGCCGCTGCAATTGATGAGAAATGAGGAGAGGAAAAAGTGAGAGGTGAGAATTGTTGTATACGGGGGCATATTAGGTTTTTAAAAATGTTTAAATGGGCAAAATCGGGATGAAAAAATGAGAAGCTTCTTAAAAACGCAACAAGCCAAAAGACATGTAACAACTGCTTTTTCAAATGGGCTTTTTCGTGGAAAAAACAAAACCCGTTTAGCACTTTTTCACCAAGCAATATTTGGAAGGGTGCTTTTGGTTTCTAATACGTAATAAGTATTAGAAGCGCTTATTTTAAGCCAAGCAATATTTGGGGGTGCTTTTGGCTTTTAAAATGCAATAAGTGCTAGAAGCGCTTATTTTAAGCCAAACCAAACGCAGAGACAAGGGATCCTTACGTTGAAATGATTTAAGCTAAACTAACAATCAAGGTTTTTAAAGTCGATCCGGACAATGAACCGGTCAGGGGTCTGGTTCCTGGATCAAACGATCGGTCTGTTCTGACCATTGAACGTTCAATCGCTTGGATCAGCGATTTGCTAACCAAATCAACATTTTTGGCAAAAATCTAGTTTTGGGGAAAAACAGAACCGATCACTTGACTGGTTTCTGGTTTTTTCGGTCCAACCATCCCATCCGGTCCGGTTTTGAAAACCATGTTAAAAATTATGGTTGCGTTGGTTCCAAATTTGGGTTAAGGTTAATGTGGTGGGCAACCCGAGCCAACTTATTATAGGAGGTATGGCGATATAGTCGAGATGGTCCAATAGTTGAGGTGCTTTGGACAACTCTATATTGTCGATGAGCAACGGTGACCCATGGTCAAATGGTTAGGAAGTGTGGGGTTATATGCAAGCTCACTGTGGTATGGCCATAGGACTAATGTTCATTCCCATCCCAGATTCCTCTGTATCAAAAATAAAAAAAATAAAAATATAAAACCTACAATTGGGTTGAGAACACTAGGTTATCTTCTGACCCATTAGTGATGGACATGAGCCGAGCTTTTTTCACAAGCTATTTGAGTTTGATTCATGAAAAGATCAATTTCGTTTGGTTCAAGCTTTGAGCCAAGTTCAAGCTTAATAAAGCTCGGCTTGTGAGGCTCGTGAGCCTAATTAAACTTTTACATATACAATATATTATACATATAGAAATTTATAATAATAATAATAATAATAATAACTAGTTTTTATAATTCTTAATTGTTTATATGTCAAATAAAAAATTATATGTATAA